ACTGCGTGCATCTCGCCAAGTGGTGGACAGCGTGTAATAGCAATGTGCGTCTACACATCATTGGTCAGTGGTCGAGGGCTCGCGTGGTGTTAAGGAGTGAAAAGAAAGGAATATCATGACACTTTATCCTTGCTGTACGTGATAGAACACTCGTTGGTCGATAATAACCACAAGATGGTCGTTCAGTACAAAAATTTGATATGGTTTGGGGACTGCTGACAGTGGGGCATGAGTGAAGCTGCTACTTTCGGGGTGGTGTCCATTTCTAGTTGATGTATTAGCGATTGAGATTAATGAACAAGGGATGAAATGAAAAACTGGAACGTAGTGGGATATAAAAAAATGTTAGTACCAGAATTATATTCAGTTCTTCTTGTTTTATGTGCCGTGTCCCTTCAGGAAATGAGTGATCATGGCTCTCCACAATTTCCTATCTTTTGTAGGTTGTACTGTTTCTTGTTTTTTTTTTTTTTTTTGCTACCATCCATAATCTCCGTCTGCCATTTATTTAAACAGGTTTCTTAGACAGGTTACTCTCTACTTATGAGAGACCTTTGTGTGCCAAATTCTTCCTTCCTTAATATTCCTTCTAGAAATTTCAAACGGTCTCTCACTGATTCTAATTATAAGAGAACCTATTGTTTTCATGTTTCTTAAAACTTCCTCATTACTCACATGTTCAGTCCATGGTATTCTCAGCATTCTTCCTTATAACCACATTTCTGTTGCTTCAAGTCAATTTTTCATCTGTGAGGCGATTGTCTAGCATTCACTGCCATATAGGAGGATTGATATTACATAACATTTCAATACTCTTTTCATTGATTCTGTTGCTTCAAGTCTCTTCTTCGTATGTGAGGAGATTGTCCTGCATTCATTCCCATAAATGAGGTCAGATATTACATATCATTTCAGTATTCTTTCCTTTCTTTCTGTTGCTTCGTTTCTTCTTCATCTGTGAGGAGATTGTTCAGTATTCACTGCCACATAGGCCTGATGTCAGGTAACATTTCAGTACTATTTTCTTTGTTTCTCTTGCTTTAAGCCTCTTCATCTGTGAGGAGATTGTCCATCATTCACTGCCACATAGGACTGATGTCAGGTAACATTTCAGTACTCTTTTCTTTGTTTCTCTTGCTTTAAGCCTCTTAATCTGTGAGGAGATTGTCCAGCATTCACTGCTATATAGAAGGACTTTTGTCAGGTAACATTTTAGTACTCTTTTCTTTGTTTCTCTGGCTTTAAGCCTCTTCGTCCTTGAGATTGCTCAACATCCATAGCCATATCGGAAGGATGATACTACATAAAAATTCAGTATTCTTTTCTTTGTTTCTGTTGCTTCAAGTCTCTTCTTAGTAGAGGAGATTGTCGAGCATTCATTCCAATATATGAGAGCCAACATTACATAACAGTTCAGTACTTATGTCTTTGTTTCTAGTGATTTTTTCTTTTTTGTAATACCTTGCTTATCTTTTGTAAGGCATATTTCCCTATTCCAATTAGCCTTCGTATATGTGTCTCGCATTTTCGTCCTATGATAAATCACTTTTTAAATATTTGCACTTGCTTGGTTTTGCTGCCTCCATTTTGTATGTCGAGTCTTGATCGATTCCTTTTACAGTTTTCTTACGACTGATGTTTACTCCTTCATTCCTTGATTTTCTATACTTTAACATGGCTGATGCTAACCTCCAAAAACGTGACTTGATGCGCCTTCTCGGACTCACGTTCTCTGCTGATATAAAAAAGAAGGGCTACACCCTTGTGCAAATTAATTAAAACAACCGCTTTATTTTCCTTGCCGTCAGTTTTAGATCCACTAGAGTGAAAGGGTGTAATCGATTTATATTTTTATCCCAGATTAGGCCCTTGCAGTAGTGTGCAGTAATATGAATCTATTCTCGGTGTGTATGATGAAATTTGTTTGGCCTTGAAATATATTGCGTCATTCGTGATTTCATCAGATTTTTATCGCGCCAAGACAGTATTATCTCGACTGTCGATTAGTTGTCCTACGGCCATTGTCTGCGATGGACGTTACTCCAAGGAAGCATACGAAAATTGTAATGCTGTACGAACACACTGGCAATCCTTACCAGTGAGCAAATAAAAGTACTATAGACTGGCCCAGAAAATCTCCTGATTTAAATCAAATCGAGAAATTGTGGTCAATCTGCAAGGAACGACTTCGTGGAATGGACATACGAAGTACTAACATGCGCACTGGGCCATGTTTCATTGGAAAAATACGAAAGAAAAGTAAATAATAATGGAATTATTCGTTTCGTTTCAATTAATTTGCAGAATTAATTTGAATCCATTGCAATGTCGGCTGCTAAGTAGTCTTATTATGCCGGACGAAGACAATATTTCTCTCCAGAATCTATCTTACATATCTCTAAGTCTACCATTCGTCCATGCTTAGAATACTGCCGCTATATATGGTCCGGTTCCCCTGCTATTTACGTTGACCTCCTTGATAAGACTCAAAGAAGAATCAGCAATACTACTGGTCCTGATCTGGCTACTCGACTTCAATCACTTCCTCACCGCCGTAAGATTGCCTTTCTGTGTCTTCTATAAATATTTTCACTGTAATTGTTTTTTAAATTAAGACTGGCGTCAAGATCTCATCAATTTACAGTTGAGATGGCGAAATGTAACCGTAAATTCTATAATGTCAGCTTCTTTTCTCGCACTTCTCGATTATGGATCTATCTTCTGGCTCAATGCTTTCGAGCTAATTTTAATTTGTGAAAATTTAAATGCGATGCCAATCGTTATCTACTGTCTACCTGATAAATCACTTCTCGTTTTGCTCATTGTTAATGTTTCTGTTCTTATTTCTTCCAAACCTTGTAACCTCTTGTGTCTTAGTGGCTTTACTTCCTTGTGTTACGTGTTGATAATTGTACCAAAGAAAAAACATGATTTACCACAACACAGAGCTAAATCACAAACAAATATTTAATTTACTAAAACACAACCTAAAATATATACAGGATAAACAATTGTGGCCTACAAAACAGAAAACACAGAGTTACTGGCAAGTGTTACGAGGAAGAAGGAAAGGGAATCAAATATCTTTATCACTTTAGGGCCAGTGAAGTAATCTAAGTGCTATATTTGGAAATCCACAAAGGTGTGTAAATAAATATTAATTTTTAGTTTGGTCAATGAAAATTAGTCAAAATTCTATTTACCAAATTTGTTCCATGAAATTCTCTTTTGGGTTTTGGTTGGTCGGCAACTTTTTATAGAGATTCTTTCGGCTGGATATAATAGTCCTTGAATCAAAAGCCGGAGTTGATAACAGCAGAAATTCCTTTTCATCAACTGACAACCCTTTTCCAAAAAACTATTTTTATAGGGGCTAACACTTAATTTGCATTTTTCTAGATGTTTCTCGAATCATCTAGATTTTTCTCGAATATACTAAAATGATCTAGAATCTTCCAAACATTCTATTTCTAATTTCTCTATTTTACAACTACTTCATGAATGAAAACTTTTTTTGTGATAACAAGTAGAACTCAGTGGAATCCCTTATTATAGAAATGCATCCTCGTAACACTTGCTTAGGGTGATACCGACGAAAAAAAAACAAACAAAAAAAAACAAACAAAAAAAAACAAAAAACAAAAAAAAACTACCTTGTATATGGATTCCAGTAGTTTTATTTATCTTTGCTGTCAATATTTTGACAAAAATTTCCCCGAGATACCGCAAGCCTCGGTTGTGATAACCTCGGTAGAGAGCACCGATCCGCCTCTCTAGTGCCATGAGAGGGTGCAGCCTCGGGCAGCTGTTTATCAGGGTCGGGCACCTCACAGTGGAAAGTAACGCTGTAGTACAATAATTGTATGCAACACACAGTGATCACACTCAAGTGTTCGTGATATGTTGACAAATTTTGATAAAAGAAGCTAATATCCTAAAAAAATAAATTACCCTAGTTTAGGTCGATTAACAGAGCCTGCTTATTATCTAGATGTTACCCCCAGGTCGACTTGGTTGCCCCATCCGTCAGATTAAAAAATAAATAAATAAAAACGATCGTCGACACCCAATCATAATGTTCACTTACTTTACCACCTTAAGTTGAAAAGTGCTCAGCAAAACTGCTACATATTGACGAAGACAAAAGTTTTCTATCATCACGCTTTAAGATTTCGATAAAGTAGATTTTTTCGTAATGAGAGTACATCATAATATTTTCAAATTTAAACATATTTAATAAATGACTGTATATATCCGTTTGTTCTTCATTTAAGATGAATATATTTGATCTCCAGAATGTTTGTGTTAATACACTAGATAAAAACCCTACACTAGCAATATTTTTTTACGTTTAAAAAAGTAAAAAAAAATACATACAAATAAATATTAAGTACATATGACTTTAAAAAAAAAAAAATCTACATATATTTATATTCTAAAATGATAAAAAAAAATCAATATTTTATGGTTTGGAAAGATTCCGTGATTTGATACATTGATTTGGCTTTTTTACGGATTGTCAATCTGTTGTAGGTTATTTAAAGCCCAAATGTATTTGGGGATTGTAAGAATAACTGCACAGAGGCACGGTGGCGTAATGGATTGAGGAATCGGAGAGGCGAGTTCGAATTCCAGTCAAATCCATTACATTCATTTACGTGCTAAGACCCTTTGGAAAGGTATGATTTCTCTTCATCTCCACCAGCTATTGGTAAATAGCAGGGCAGACTGTGTTATATAGCCTTGGGTGGAAACTGGTCTATCACAGAAAGAAATGGCAGCCTACTGCTGGAAAAAAATCTGCCTCGTCAGTTATGTATCGAAAGATACATGATCACATAAGCGCGTGTCATGCATGGCACATAACTGAATAATTATTATTTTGTTTTGCTTTTATTAACAATTTCTTTGAAATAATAATGGTTTTCAGGTAATTAAATTCGAACTCGGCTTTTTCTCATTCCGAGCTCATATCCATTAAACCACCGCCACATACAAGGTTACAACACGTGGTTTTCCCAAGCGGTCACCCATCTAGGTACTGACCAGGTTAGATGTTTCTTAACTTTAGTGATCGTACGAGAAACAGTGTTTCAATGTGATATGGCCATAAGCGCATTACACCTCACGCAGATGCACGCTTACAGCACCTGATATTCCTAACCGGTCACCCGTCTTGTTACTGACCAGCCTCGACGTTGCTTAACATCGGTGATCTTAGGAGAACCTTGTTTCAACGTGATATGACCATAAGCCCATTACATCACGCGCACATCCAAGCTTACAGCACCTGGTATTCTCATCAGGTCACCCGTCTTGTTACTGACCAGTTTCGACGTTGCTTAACGTCGGTGATCGTAGGAGAACCGTGTTACAACGTGATACGACCATAAGCCCATTACATCACACGCACATCCAAGCTTACAGCACCTGGTATTCTCAACAGGTTACCCATCTTGTTACTGACCAGTTTCGACGTTGCTTAACGTCGGTGATCGTAGGAGAACCGTGTTACAACGTGATACGACCATAAACCCCATTACATCACACGCACATCCAAGCTTACAGCACCTGGTATTCTCAACAGGTTACCCATCTTGTTACTGACCAGTTTCGACGTTGCTTAACGTCGGTGATCGTAGGAGAACCGTGTTACAACGTGATACGACCATAAGCCCATTACATCACACGCACATCCAAGCTTACAGCACCTGGTATTCTCAACAGGTTACCCATCTTGTTACTGACCAGTTTCGACGTTGCTTAACGTCGGTGATCGTAGGAGAACCGTGTTTGAATGTGATATCACACGCACATCCAAGCTTAAGCACCTGGTATTCTCAACAGGTTACCCATTTGTTACTGATAGTTTCGACGTTGTCGGTGATCCCGTGTTTGATATGATATGACCGTAAAAATAGATTTATGTTGTCCGGACCGGAGAAGAAGTCTCTTATATCCTGGTTTCTCTTATATCCGGGTTTGGTCTATTTTGTTTAGGTAAGTATGGGCTCTAATTTGGGACCAGAGAAAATCTCTCTTATATCCGGGTTTCTCTTATATCCGGGTCTCTTATATCCGGGTTACACTGTAACAGCAGGTATTCCTAATCGATCACCCATCTAGATACTGACCAACTCGACGTTGCTTAACGTCGGTGATCGTTACAGAGGTTGTTTAAATGTGATGTGTCCGTAAGCCTAACGTTTAATGAACGTTAATCGAAAAAATATACCCCCTCAAAATTTTCCCCCATTTTGAGGAGCGGAGCGGACTAGTCATTTTAAGTAGTGACGGAAGAAGAATAATTCTGCAGTATATTTATAACTAAGTGTGCATTATTCTATCAAAATAAGGAAATTATGAATGCGTGCACAGGTTCTCTGGCTATTTCTAAGTATGTAAATAGATTTTTGTGTTAATGTATATGTCTTAGGGTGTTCAATGGTTGTATTGTTAGGCCAGCTTATTGGTTAGTTTATTTGTCGCTCGGATTATACACAAATAGCCAAAATGCATGCAGTGCATGCTTCTCGTGCCGTTATCCGGCTCAGTCTTCCAATTTCCGCTGTACGCACGTAGACACTTCCCTTCAAGAATCTCTCGCCTCGAGACTCTAACCCAGTCTCACACACATGGACTCCCGATCCCTTAAAAAACTGTCAATCATCGGTCAGTGTGTCATGTTTCACGACTGATTAACTTCAGTATCCGAAACGGTCACCACCAATGATGTCGTCTCTGCGACCGCCATCTTCGTTTCTTTGCCATTTTGTCCATCCAACCCAGTCCCTACCATCCATTAGTTGGTCATCGTGAGGGTGTGAGTGCTTAGTGGACTGGGTGGCTGGGTGGGACATTAAAGCCACTAGGTCTTTGGGGACTGACGTTGTTCGCTTCTCTCTCGGAAGATAAAGATGATGGTCTGAAAGGAGGAGAAAGAAAAGTTAACGAGCGGGGAATTTGAAAAGAAAGAAAGAAAGAAAAGAAGGAAAAATGGAAAAGAAAGAGAACATTAAAGAAAGAAAATTAAAGGAACAGAAATGAAAAAAAGAAAATTGAATAGGAAAAAAGAAAAAAAAGAAAGAGAGAGAAAAAGAAGTAAGAAAATGAAGAAAGAAAGAATATGGCAGAAAAAAAAGAAAGAAAAAAGGAAGGAAGAAAAGTAAAAACGAGAAATTAAAAAAATAGAAAAATGGACGAAGAAAAAAGAAGGAAAAATAATTAAAGAAAGAAAGAAATAGAGAAAGAAAATGAAGGCGAAAATATGAAAAAGAATGAACAGGAATGTAAAAAGAAAGGAAAAAAGAACGAAAACATAGAGATAAAAGGAATGAAAGAAAGAAAATGAACTAAGAAAATGAAGAAAGAAAGAATACGAAAGAAAGAACCAAAAGGAATGACGGAAGAGCTGAAGAAAGAAAGAAAGAAAGAAAGAAAAAAAGAAAGACGAAAAAAAAACAAAACAAAAAAAAACAAAGAACGTATCAGAACGAAGAAAAGCCTGAAGAGAAAAAGAAAGAAAGAAAAATCCAAGCAAACAAACAAGGGACGTATAGTAAGGAAGAAAGAGTAGAAGAAAGAACTAAAGAAAGAAAGAAAGAAAGAAAGAAAGAAAGAAAAAAGAAAGATAGAAAGAAAGAAAGATGGAAGGAATGTACAGGATGGAAGAAGCGAAGAAAGAAAGGAATATGGTTCAGAAACATTAGGTTGGTGCAAAAATAATGACGTAATAATGTCGTTTTGTGACGTATTTTTTAACCTCAAAAAACGATATTATTACGTCATTATTTTTGCACCAACCAAAATAATGACGTAATAATGTCGTTTTGTGACGTATTTTTTAACCTCAAAAAACGACATTATTACGTCATTATTTTTGCACTAAGCTAATAAAAAGGAAAATATGACAAGAAAACTTAAAAGATAGAAAAACAGAAAAAAGGAAAATCAAGAGGGAATTTTGAGAAAAATTTAATGAAGAAAGAAAAGAGAGAACAAATGAAAACAGAAAGAGAGAGGAGGAAGAACAAGAAAAGGAGAAAATAATGAAGCGAGGCAGAAAGAAATTGAATATATTGAGAGATTGATAGCTGGAAATATAGAGGGTGGGGAAGGATAGGATAGTCGAAATGTAGTGAAGAGCAAAAGAGATAGAGAAAGGGAAAGAGTAATGGAGATTAGAGCGCCGAAGAAAGAAAGGGGAGCGTTAATGGAAGAAAGGGGGAGAATGCTAATGAATGAGATAGACGACATAGAGAGAGAAGGATTAAGAGCAAGAGAGAGAGAGAGAAAGAGGAAGAGAGTGGGGACATAGATGAAGAAGTACTATGTTCGTTTGTACGTATTAAGAACATTTCGTGTTGGCAACCATTCTTATTTTTATAAAAACTGTACACAGTATAAAAAACCCGTTACCATATATAATACTGTACACCATATATAATACTGTACACCATATATAATACTGTACACCATATATAAAAACCGTATACCATATAAAAACTGTATACCATATATAAAACTGTATACCATATATAAAACTGTATACCATATATAAAAACCGCATGCTATATGTAAAAACTGTATGCCACATATAAAACTTTATACCATATTTAAAAACCGTATGCCATATATATAAATTGTATACGATATATAAAAACCATATATCATATATTGTAATCCTATAGCATATATAAAAACCTTATACCACATATAAATACCGTATACCTTATAAATAACAGTATGCCATATATAAAACTGTATATCATATATAGAACCATATATAAAAACTGTATACAATAAATAAAAACCGTATACCATATATAAAACCGTACACCATATATAAAATGTATATCATATATAAAACCGTTATACCGTATATAAAAACCCTATACCATATATAAAAACGTATACCATATATATAAACCGTATACCATATATAAAAACCGTATGCCATATATGAAAACCGTATACCATATATAAAAACTGTATACCATATATATAAATATATATCATATATAAAACCGTTATACCATATATAAAAACCCTATACTATATATAAAAACGTATACCATATATAAAGAAACCCTATAACATATATAAAAATCCTATAGCATACATAAAAACCGTATACCATATATATAAACCTTATTTTATATATAAAAACATTATATCATATATAAAAAGCTTATACCATATATAAAAACACTATACAATATATAAAACCATATACCATATATAAAACCCGTATACCATATATGCTACGTTCGGTGGAGGATGTGGCGTATTCAATATTTGATAATTTTGCGGCAATACGCGCTGAAAAGATTTAGGCAATTTTGGTCACCATTTCTTTATATGCTTAGTCGTAGGGAATTGAATATGTAGGATTACCTTACACTACACAATAATGGCATTTAAGAATTTATTACATGAAATATCATGTTTTACGGAAAAATTGTTGACAGTTATGTACAGACAAACCTTTCACCAACAGACAGCCATCAACGGACTTCAGATGCAACGGACTAAATCTGCAGGCAAAATAAAATAAAAATAAAAAAAAAATCTGCAGGAAAAAATTCTTTCAAATTCTTTATTTCAGAATTTGCGGGCTTAGCGGAACGAGTCGGTGGCGGTGGTGGTCATTTCAATTATAAACAAAGAGTGTACAGTATATAAAGTATGATACATTAGCGCGTGTGTGAGAAAGTAGCTGTGAGAAATCTATTATTTTTGTTATTATGATTAATATATCTGTATCAAGTATATACTTATTTATGCCATATATACATATGGTATTTATATTACGATCATAACTAGTGGTAGTTACTATAGTGGTTTTATAACTCAAAAATAATCCATTTCCATCTACGAACAAATCGGCTTTAACAGACCACCCATTACCCTATTTGTCCGTTGATGAGTAGTTTGTCCGTATTAAGTTACATAACAAGAAATTAAAAATAATATAAATTTTGATGCTATATTCGATTTATTGTTAAGTATTTTTCATTTTCTCCTTTGTTATTGGCAGCATTTTAGAATACTTTGGCTGCAATGTTAGATTTCCTTAGATGAACAAACTGGAGGTATTTCGTTTACGCTTCG